TGTGTGTGTGTGTGTGTGTGTGTGTGTGTGTGTGTGTGTGTGTGTGTCTGTGGTTAAACTTTTACAGTGGAATTTTGAAAGGATTTTTTTTTTTTGTGATATTGTTCCTCCGGCAGTGCTCCGCGGCATTATTCACACAGCCTGTGGGTTTATTACTCTTATGAAAGCGCTCAGCCGTGCTTTGCTTCTTGTATTTCCAGGATCTCCATGACCAATGAGAACGGGCGAGGGACCCTGACCATCCGCGATGTGAAAGAGGCGGACCAGGGCGCGTACACATGCGAGGCCATTAACGCCAAGGGCCTGGTGTTCGGCATCCCCGACGGAGTGTTGACCCTCACATCAAATTCAAACTCAGGTAACGGCAGCGTGGGTCTGCATGCAGCATTTACTTTGAAAATGAAACATTTTACAGAGACCGGACAAAAAACATTTCTGTCCTGAGACTTTTTAAATCTTTTAGGCAACTGTCCTAGTGGCCACTTCAGTGTAAGCGGCCGCTGCGTGTCCTGCTTCTGCGCCGGAGTCACCAGAAACTGCAAGAGCACCGGACGCTACCGCGAGCGCATAACCCTGCGCTTCACAGAGGAGGAAGACTTCAAAGGCACTGAAAGCCGTCAATACACACAAAAAAAACCCACCACCAGCTGATCACACTTGAATGATTTTGCCAAGCTCCTGTTTTGAAATGGCAAGGTGCGAGTCTTCTGTTTTTTTTTTTCTGCCCGCAGGAGTGAACGTTACCTACCCCTCCAGGCCGGGCACCCCCCCTCTGTCCTCCACCCAGCTCCTGGTCAACCCCGAGATGGAGGAGTTCCAGCTGGTTGACCTGTCGCGTCGTTTCCTTAACCTGGAGTCCTTCTGGACTTTGCCCCGCCGGTTCCTGGGCAACAAAGTAAATCCGGAAAAATTGAACGGCTCCGTTTTTTAAGTCGACAGGGTATTAACACAGACTCTTCCCCTCTGCCTTTTTAGATCGATTCTTATGGAGGATCCCTCAGGTTTAAGGTGAGGTACACGCTGGCCCGTGGCCTGTCGGAGCCCGTGGAGAAGCCGAACGCGATTATACTCGGAAACGGACGCAGGCTCATTTACCGCAGAGGCAATGGAACCCCTCCTAACGTGGTCAACCAGAAGGAGATCAGATTCACTGAGGTAAGGCTCTGCTTCAAAGAAGCCGCCCCGACTGAAACCAAAACCATAAAAGAGCTATTTACCCACTAGGAAAAACAGCTCCCATAGATGGCGTTTCGATACATGTTTTTTCTTTAGGAAAACTGGCAGCATTCCAACGGCAATCCCGTTAGCCGGGACGAGCTGATGATGACTCTGGCCAACCTGGACAGCATCAATATCCGCACCGTGTATGACAACCACATGGTCAGCGTGGCGCTCAGCGACATTGTCATGGACACCACCACCGTGGAGTTCTCCACTCTGGGCCACGCCAAAGACGTGGAGGAATGCAGGTGAGCGGGATGGCCTGGATCTATAGGAAAACATGGCTACCCGGTATTGGTAGACTACCATGCGGATCACTTTCCTTTGTGGACGGAATTGCTGAATTCAGCTATTTTTTGACAACTATGACAAAATGCGTCGTCATGGGTTTGGTCTTCATGCCTGATGCACACACACTGAAGTTTGCGTCTTCATAGTGTGTGGTTAAAATGGTTTAGCTTTACCACAGCTTGATCGTGCTCGTATTTCTTATTTTCAGATGCCCTGCTGGATACTCAGGTCTGTCCTGTGAGATGTGCTCCTCTGGTTTTGAGCGTGTCCCTGGTGGCCCCTATCTCGGTACCTGCGCTGGCTGTAACTGTAACGGACACGCCACGGCCTGCGATCCAATAAACGGACACTGTCTGGTAAGGGCCGGTTCTGTAGTGATATTTCAGTGGAAATGTATCTGTGTAATGAAATTTTTTCCATCTATTTTGTGTGAGAGCCTCATTTCCGATACATTATTACTGGATACCAAAGGCAGTTCCTGACCTGGCCTGGTCGCAATCCAGACCAAACTTTTGAGAAATTCTAACACAAAGAAACGGAATGCAAAACATTTCTCTTTCTGAAACCCATTCTGCGGCAGTTTCTTTCCTCATCTCCCAACATTGTAAAAAGGTGATGCAACAGAGTGGCAAATGTGCCGGTCTCTGTGCTGCCAGTTTTTTTTTTTTTAAACCTTAATGAGCTCCCATTTGTCAAAAAGCAGTCATATTTCTCCGGTTCAGCATTTCCGACGCTGTCTGTATTTTTTATTAATGGGCAAATATAGGATTTCCAATTCAATTCTCTTTGTTTAGAACGTAAATCTAAGCGTGGATTTATCGCACGTCTCACTGTGCCGCTGCAAAACCAACCAAGAAGAGATTGCTCCAATTTTTTATTTCAAGGTACTTTGAGGTAACATAATGACAGAAGGAGCTTTTGTTCTCTCCCCCCCCCCCGCTCACACAGAGCTGCCAGCACAACACAGAGGGCCCTCAGTGCGACAGGTGCCGGCCCGGCTACTTCGGCGATCCTAGCCGCGGTCGCCCCGACGACTGCAAGCCCTGCCCCTGCCCTTACACGGAGACCTCACGCCGGTAAGAACCCGCCAAAGAATTTACAGACGGATACATGCCCCCAAACGTGCCACTTCCGTTTCACTCTGACTTCCAAACGGCTTAAGTCAGGCCCATATGGAACTAACGTGCTATTAATTCGTGGCTATTCTGCTGGACTTACAGGTTTTCTGACACCTGCTTCCTAAATGTTGACCAGCAGCCAACGTGTGACGCCTGCAGGCCCGGCTACACGGGAAGGCGCTGCGAAAAGTGAGCCAGACGGGTCACCTGTTACAAACAGAGGCCTCCACTCTCTATTTCAGTGTGTAATTATGGGGCCAAAAGGCATTGTGGGAAGAGGAAAAGATAGCGGCTGCAGGCATAAGGTGGAAAAATGTATGTTTATGTTTTCAGGAAACAGGTGAATTGAATCTTCTGTTTTGCTTTCTTTCAGGTGTGCCCCCGGTTACCAGGGCAACCCGCTCTTGCCGAATGGAAAATGCGTCCCTAGCCGTGAGTCGCGTGTTTACCATCTGCGCCGATGTATTTTTCTTTAGCATGAACACATCGCAGGCATGAGTAAATGAATGATTGCTTAAGCGGCGTGACCATGTGGAGGTCCCGACCCCTGTTTAATGATTACCATCAGGTTTTTGTTACAGTAGGCCATTGTAAACGGTCACGGCTCAGCTATGCAGCGTGGCTGGAGCACTCCCCCGGTGCGTTTCCCTCCCCATATGTTATCTCCTTTCCACCGCCCCCTCTCTCTCTCTCTCTCTGCAGAAGCCCTCACCAAGTGTGACGACAGAGGGACCGTCCGCTCCAGCAGCAACCCGTGCAGCTGTAAGGTATGGATCTCCATTATTTTATTATTTTTTTTTTTTTCTTCCGCTGCTGTCATTTTTCAAGAAGGCATTCCAAGCAGATGGTTTACATGTGCGCATGTGTTCGTCCCTGCGTTTACGTTTTCAGAACAACGTGGCAGGCGCTCTGTGCGACCAGTGCAGGCCCGGGTTCTTCCACCTCTCCGAGGCCAACCCGGACGGCTGCCTGCCCTGCTTCTGCATGGGCGTCACCAAACAGTGCGCCAGCTCCACGTGGAGCCGAGACCAGGTGGGATGGGACCCCCCCCCCCCCCCCCCCCCCCCCCCGGGGGGGGGGCCGGGGGGGGGGGGGCGCCCCCCCCCCCCCCCCCCCCGGCAGAGAGAGAGATGCCCGAGCGGAATCTCGTGGCGCATCTCGGCCAGACGCGTTTTGTTTTTTTCTGTCTCTCAGGTGCGAGGGGGCGTGAACGGGCAGCTCTTCTCCCTCTCCAACAGCGCCAACACCAGAATTCTCACCCAGGGGATCTCCCAGAGGGGCTCCTCTGAAGTGGTGTACCGCTCCTTCTCCAGCGTCCCCAGGGACGTGTACTTCTGGGTGCTGCCCGAGAGCTTTAGGGGAGATAAGGTGAGAGGCAAAAACAAAATCATGAAGAGCAGGCTGGCGACGAGGAAAAGGGGGGAAAAAACAAAAACAAAAACGTCTGGTGTTGGTAGAGCTTGATTTATCTGCTCTTTTGTGTCCCACTCAGTCATGCCTCAACATGTCGTCAGATGAAAAGATTCCACTTATCCCCCCCCTTAAGCAAGTCTGCTTTGAACATTTGCATTCGCGGGCGAGCTGAGATGAGTTTTTTCTGTCTGTCGTTGCCACCAGGTGACGGCCTATGGCGGCGAGCTCCGCTACACGCTGCTCTTCGAACCGGCCCAGCGCTCGCCGGCCGTCGACGGTCAGCCCGACGTGGTTCTCCAGGGCAACGACATCTTCCTGGAGCACTACTCGGAGGCGAAGCCGCTCCCGCGCGTGCCGCACACCGTGACCGTGACGTTCAGGGAGGTGCGTGTCCAATCCTTCCGGAGCCTCTTTGACCCCAAGATCGGAGCCGCCGGACAGCGTTCCTGGACTGACCTGTGGCTTTTCTGACGCTTTCAGTCCTCGTGGCGTCGGGCCGATGGGCAGCCGTGCACCCGGGAGCACCTGTTGATGGCGCTGGCCGACGTGACTGTCCTCATGATCCGGGCCGTCTACGCAGAAAACACGGCGGAGAGCAGGTACTGAGAGAAATCGAAAAACGTATCCGCTTCTAATAGGGGAGACCTTCTTGTTTTTTTTTCACGCGTCTTTTCTTTTGTGCGTCAAAGTCTTTCAGATATCAAGATGGACGTGGCTGTTCCTCACTCCACTGGTAATGAGGGCGCTCTGGAGGTGGAGGAATGTGCCTGCCCACCGGGATACAGAGGACTGTCCTGCCAGGTACTGTATACATTCAGGCCTCAAATGGACTTACCATGGTTCACCAAAAAGCTTGGAAATTGCAGCTCCTCTATTAACCTATATAGTGGTCTCACAAACCCGAGGGTAACCACTTCGAGGGACTCGCTTTTTCTGATTAAATTAAGCATCCAGTCGTAAAATTGGGTTAGCTGACACTCCCACAATTCGTATTTTTTGCCAGAAAAACTTCCAAGCTGACAGTGTTAAAAGCTGCATGACTTGATTTAATATCTACTTGCAATTGTGCTCTTTCATTCTAACACTTGAACAAAAACTGTCCCCTGGTGAGGACCGTAGCTCTTTTCTTACTTTTCTTACAGGATCCTGAACATGGCACTTGGTTTGTTAAAGAGTTTACTGTAGTTTCACACTCTGTTTTTGGATTTCTATGTTGTAGACTATTGAGGGCCCTTAGAGTTACCCTCACAATTACAAAATGATGAGTGTTAAGACTTTTGGTCTCAAAGGTTTTTTGGTTAGGTTAAGAATCAGCCTATGGTCAGATTTGGGGTAAAATGCAAAGGAACGCATTGTATCAGTATAAAGACCTCATGGGCATTATAAAACATATGGTTTGTGAGTGTGTGTGTGTGTGTGTGTGAGTTTGTGTTGTGCTGGGAGTAATTTACTCCAAGCCCCTTGTCCAAGTTTCGTTTTTACACAACAGCTTCATGGAAGAGGTTTATTCATGAAAGAGTTACAGTATTTTCTTAAAAGTCAGACTTCGGCGCGTGTATAAGCAACCCGCACGGAAACGCTGACCTAATGTCTGTTTTAGTTTTTGACAAGACAACGAGTGGTAGGTAATCACAGATGTGTCTGCACTCGCTCGAAAACAGAGTTTCAAACATTTCCCATAAGTAATTGATGTTAATTACAGAGTCTCCTAGCCGAGGTGGAAGAAAGGCTTGTTCTTCCACCTCCTCGCACGTCTCCTACCTGAGGGTTTTTTGTTTTTTTCCGTGCTCTCGCAGGAATGCGAGGAAGGCTACACCCGCACCAGCTCCGGCCTTTACCTGGGCACCTGCGAGCGGTGCGACTGCAACGGTCACGGCAGCAGCTGCGACCCGGTGACCGGCAGATGCCTGGTAGGTCCCGTGCTGCCCCCCCCCCCGCCCCCCCTCCTAATCCACGGGTCCGGGCTTTTGATCTCGTCACTGGAATGCGCTAATGATTTGTCTCAAGCTCATCCCAGCATGTGAAAACACGAGGGGGGGGGGGCCGTTGTCAGGTTGCTCCGTTTCACCTCCTCCTTTTATTTGTGTGCTCCCCCCGAAGCAATGTCTTCATAACACCGCCGGGCCGAGATGCGAGCGCTGCCAGCCCGGTTTTTACGGAGACCCTGTAGCCGGCGGTGTTCAGGCCTGCAGGCCGTGCCCGTGTCCCGGAGTCGCATCCAACAACCAGTACTATTTTTAACTTTTTAACTTTTTTTAAATCCAAGATGATTTTTTATTCCCTGTCTATATTTCATTTGACCGTTCTCCTTGAGAACCTGAGCGAAACGTGGCCACGGAGGAGAGAAGTCAAGATATTTTTTGTCCTCCTTTTGTTCAGATTCTCGTCGACTTGCTTTTTGGACTCCGACGGCGAGCCAACTTGCGACAACTGTCCTCCCGGTTTCAGCGGCCGGCGCTGCGAAAGGTAAGTCGCGCCCCGCCCGCCCGTCCGTTTGTCTCCACGTCGTCTCGGTTCTGCTCAGTGTTGGGGGGTCAGGGGCCGGCCGGCAGCAGGGTTAGAGGGGAAATGGTGTCACCACCCGTTGGCTTCGTTCACAGGAAAAAGGGCTGAGGGGAATGTCTCCTGTTTTTCACAGCGGCGCTGACTTGAATGTTGCTGAGGAGGGCTGGAAAATGCAGATCTGTGCACCCCAGTATCTTACGTGCCCTTAGTTTTGCACCGTGCTCTGTTTTTTTCCCCACATCTGCTGGTGTATCACATTGTGTTTTCTGATGCATCGAGTTGGAAAATGGAAGGTTGTTTCTGGTGTGGCCGAATGATATCTGGGTTTGTTTTCCAAAGATAAGAGACCTTTGGTGGTTTTCAGAATGCCATCTATCAGTTTTTGTGGTTTGTGGAAAATAAATTATTCTTAGGAAACCTTTAGTTTGGCTTTTGAATCTGATGTATGCCTTTCCTCTGTCCTTTACCTCTAAAAGCCCTTGTCAGAGGATGCTTTATTTTTTTTGCTTCAGCTCTGGGCTTTTTGCTGGTAGCGAGATTGTCAGGTGTGAATTGCGACCAAACATGTCTTCTGGGTCATAAATGTAAATGTGGCATTTATGCGGACTCCTGTCTGGCTGATGAATCTTTGCCACCAGGCGGGCAAAGATGACAAAAGGGGGAACCGGGGTGTAAGACATTCATTGTGACGTGACGTCTCTCACACCTGATTTTGCTGTTCTGGTATTAAGAGAAGAAAAGCTGCCTGCTGACAGTTGCGGGGAGCCGATCCTGGAAGAACATGCTGATGGCTTCCTGCCTGTGGGATGTGGAGCCGAGCCAGTGTTTAATTTCAGCTGGCAGAGAGAGATAGTACCCTATGGCAGTGGAGATGATGACGACGACGATGATGATGATGATGACATTTACTATCCAAAGCCTGTCACCACAGAAGGAACAATCGCCATCCCGACAAGAGCCTTGCTTTCCACTTCTTCTCACCACCCCTCGAAATCTGTTAATCCCATCCGTGCTGACGTTGTCTCAGTTACCCCTAACAGATCGGCCGCCAGGCTCGCACCCCGCTTCACGCCTAACCCCGAAACCAGACGCTCCAGCTTCCAGCAACTCCTCCGGATTCACCTGAACACCTTCAACCAGCGCCTCAGCATGCTGGAGGGCAACACCCTGGACATGAAGGCGAGCATCCGCAGCATCGAGAACCAGCAGAGTTACCTCAGCTCGCAGCTTGAGGAGCTCGTTGCCCTCAGCTCAGCCGGAGAGAAGGACCAAAAGGTTACGGAGCTGGAGAGGAACTACGCCGAGATGGAGGCCAGGCTCGGCCGGCTGGAGGGACGGCTGGAGATCCTCATCGACGGCTTCACGGCTCTAGCCCAGGAGATGAACAAGGTGAAACGGGCGAGACACAACTCCCGCTCGACTCGAGATAAGAGGCCTCTGCTTCCCCCCGCCACAGTCCCCGTCACCATATCGTATACCACGCCCCTCATCAGGGTCCTTCCCACCGAAAGGCCTCACGCCAGCAGGGCCACGGTGGCCCAGAGCATACCGACGCCAAGCCTCCCCTCTGCCTCTCAGAGGGATAGAACGGTCAAACCAGGTGCCACAACTAAGCCGGCGAAAAATGCAACGAAACAGCGTTCGGTTGGTAGATCATCCAAAAGTAACGCGACATCAAAGCCAGCGGTCAAGTCAAAGAGCACGCCGGGTAAGCCGAGGAGCGGGGCAACAGGTTCCCGAAGCGCACCCACCTCAGCTGTCCCCACAAACAAACACGCTATTTCTGTTCCTGAGAAAGGAGGAAAAGCCAAACCGGCAGCGGTCACTAAGTCGGTGAAGAATACGAGAAAGCCACAAGCCGTCACTAAATCAGCCAGAAACCGCGTGACATCGAGGCCAGCATTCCAGACAAAGACCACCTTGGTTAAACCGAAAACGTCTCCGTCGCGGACCACAGCGAAGCCCGACACCAAGAGGCCACAGGGTAGGAGGTCTGAGTATCCATCACAGCCAAAGAAAACAAAAGTGGAGGAAGCTAAACAAGAGGCGGCCATCACTAAATTTCAGCTGGACCCGCCGTCTCACAGACCGGGGCCGGCCGTGACCCCTCAGCTGCACAAACAGCCGGGCCGAGCGCGCAGCAAGGCCTTTAGTTCAGATTCACCTGTCCAGGACAGGGCCAAGAAAGCCCAAAAGGCTAAAGACGGCGTAGCGACTGCAAAGCCAGCCACCACCACCAATGTCCGAAAGCCTAAGGCCACCACAAAGAGGACCAGTCCTGCTAAAATCAAGGCAACGTCTGCGAAAAGGACATACGCTTCATTGAAAACCAAGGCTACCAGTGTCCGGAAAACAGCTAAAAAGACGCAGCCCAGAAGGAAAGCGGACTCCGGTTCTGGGGCTTTGGACCTGCTCAGGCTCTTACGCGGAGATTACAAGTCTCCAAAGCAGAGAAAAAATGGGGACGGTTCTCTTCATATTGTCTTAGGAAAGCTGGCCATTCCGATCAAAATTATCCCAGACCACTAATGACTTATACTTGTGATTCAGTATTGTCCCCCACACATACCCCCCCATGTCAAACACCATCAAAGAAAGTAATGAAGGGAATTAATTTTCTTTTATTTTCGCCTGGACTTTAAGATGTATGATGTTTAACTTATCTTTGACTTATGTTTTGGTGCTTTTAAGCTGTTGTGACGGAATGTTGACATAGCTATTGCACAGAATATTATGATGAAGAAACAGCTTAGCATTTTTTTGTACCTTTTATGTCATATTTTTCCATTTAGCTGTGGCTGGACTACCTCAGATTTGAGCCCCAGTGCTTTGTAAAACTGATGGCAAACACGCCATCTATCTTGCTTCAGTTAACATTTCAAACGTGTGGTTGTGACTGTGTTTTCCACAGATTCATTTATGTGGAAGATCTATCCCATCACCTGTATGGACACGTTACATCTAAGGGCAGGCTTTTAAGGCAGTGGTTAAGGTCCAAAATGGAGACGCAAATGTCAGTTTTAATGCACATGGGACTTTTCTGACCCTCAAATTATAATATTTTTTAATTATTTGAGGTTAAAACTATCTAACTATTTAAAACCCAGTCTCTGTAGTCCTTATAAGGTCAGTGTGATCTTGTTTGAAGAAGATAAAATGTTTTTTTTTCCCTTATACGTATGGTGCTAAAAGTCAGTAACAATTCTTTTCATTCAACTTTATGAATGACAATGTGTTGGTTCACTGATTTGATCCAGATGGATGGATAATTGTAAATGTCATGCCTCCTGTTTTAGAAGTAATGCCTCGGCACCTTTTGGATTGATTTTTGCGACATTTGGGTTAAGATATTAATTTTAGTCTCGCGATAATCCCTCTTCTCAAATTGAGCCTATTTTGGTCTGTTTTAGTGCCTAAATCCAAGCCATTTGTCTCTGATGTGCATGCATGGGTCATGCTTCTAGAACTGAGGCCTGGTGGGATCATCCTCTGTGGATCATGAAATTTTAAAACGGTCTTAAGAGACAATGTCATGAGACTGAGGACAGGCGAAGCATCCTCAGCCTTATTTTTAAGCGACAAATTTCGAGCTTGCAAAAAAAGTGTAAACTGCAGATGAGATTGTTTCATTTGGATGTTTTGAAAGACCAAACTGTTTGTTCTGAGCTGGTGAATTCTTCCTACACTGTGGACTGAGCATTTCCATAAGAGCATACCAATGTGTTCTGTGGCTCTCTGAATCACTTGTAAAGTTGCTCTGTCTCGAAGCGATGTCTCATCCCTGTAGGAAAATGTGCTTCAGGAGGTAGTTTTTTAGTTTTGATAAGGTGTCCTAAAGCGAGCTCATAGCTTGGAAGCCATCTTTGTTGGCTGTTGCCATGTGGAGCTGCCAGAGAACAGGTGAGGTAAGAAAGACTTCAGCTGTCCCCCCCCCGGGGGCAGCCTGCACAGATCTGGGGTTTTGAACTGCCCTCTCCTCTGGTGGCAGGGCCGTTGTGTGCTAAGGCCGTTGGTGCATTGCTTTGCTTTGTCAAATCGGAGTTTATTTTTTCCTGCCCTTCTTAGCATCTTCATCTGCAGTTCATGGCGTCGTCTATCCTTAGCTCTGCTCTTTTTTTGTCCTGATATCGCTTCTTCTTTTCATTACGCCTGTCGATCTTTGGAACTGGTGATTTATTTATTTTTTCTCTCTCTAATTTTCCCTGTAAAAAAAGGTTTACTTGGTTTTTAGATGTGCAACACTCACTTGAGAGATGGACTCAACATCAGCGCCATGTTGAAAGTTCGAGCAGATGCAACGCTTCCTCCATCTCCAGTTTAAGCTGTGTTAGATTACTTTTTTTTTCCTTCTAAAAATACTGTTGGGATAACATCTGGAAGCCTGTGGGTTTTGAGGTCTTGTTAATGTAAGACTATCGCTCCGTGTGGACGTGTGTACTTGCTGGATGAAATAATAATTGAGCAATTTGATGCTCCTCTGAAATGTTCTTTTCTGTGGGGTTAAGAAAAACACTTGGATCACAAATGTATCACTTGATACTCAATTCTACATTGAATTAAAAACTCATTGCCTGGGATTTGATTTACTCCAACAAACTTGTCTGCTTTCATTTCAGTTGTGCCTCAGGATACGTTGGCGACCCCCTGAATGGACTGGCCTGCGGTGTACTCAATGGTAAGTCAACGGTAAATTCTGTGTTTTGATCTAGGATATTATGGAGATTGACTACAGTTTGGTTTCCTTCCTTATTCTGACGGAAGTAAACAGCGTGCGAGACAATTTCTCTTAATAGAAAACCACAATTTCTTTTCATTTCTTTAACTCTGCAATGGTAACATCCAATCACAACACTACTCAGGTTAAATGGAACACATGGCTTCTGAATTATCTACAGAGTAATGAGAACAGAGACAACCGTTCAAACAAGTGTTTCAGATCATAATCGGTGGAGAAAATGAAGTTGCGTGTGTAAGCGTGTGTTCTGCTGCCGTGTTTAAGGGGACTGCTCGGACTGTGACGCCAGAGGAAGGAAAGCCTGCCACGGTGGCGTGTGCCACTGCAAGGTGAGGAACCCGCACACTTTCTGCTCGCACCGGCTCCGTTTCACGGGAGTCCCAGCTCGAAACCGACTGCTTTTCCTCACTGCAGATGCACGTGGAGGGCCCGTCCTGCTCCAGGTGTAAGGCCGGGACCTTCTACCTGGACGAGCGGAACAACGACGGCTGCTTGTCCTGCTTCTGTATGGGTGTCACTCAGCAGTGCTCCAGCTCCGCGCTGTACAGAGACACGGTAAGGCCTTTCTGAGTCCTATCTCAGCTGACTTTAGGTGAGAGGCGGTACACAGGTCTCAGGAAAAACAACTCAAAATACGCTAAGATACATTAACAGCCAAGTTTTACACTATGCAGCAGTACAGGGGAAGACTGGCGCTTAGATGTGTGGTTTGTCCTCAGAAAAGCCCAAAACACACCTTCATTATACCAACTATGAGTGGTTTCTAACTTAATGGGACCATGTCTATGGAACATCACTGTTAGGATTTAGAATTCGATAAAATCTAGCCTAAAAGCAGGGTGTGTGAGCAAAGTGTGCCCAGCTTTAGCCGATTCACAAGTTTTCTGTGTAACCTTATCACTCCCTCATATTGTTTTAGGGATTTGCCTTAATATAGTTTTGCATTGGTAAAGTTGCTCAAGAAACCAAGACGGGGGACCGTCTAGGAAAGGGTTAAAATGGTAGTTTCACTTTCCCATTGCCTGCTTTCTGTAATGATACTTATCTTTTATTCTCCTCTGTATTCACCTCTGACATTCTACTTACTCAGTTTTTTTAGATTACATTTCCCAACTTCTCCTGATTGAATTAGTTTTCCCCCTGCAGTTGTCCTCAGCCTTCTCACGAGGAAACTTCCAGGGATTCGCCCTGGTGAATCGCCAGCGAACCAACCGTGTGTCCACCGGTTTCACGGTGGAGGTTTCCACTGAAGGCACTCAGCTTTCCTACAGCAACTTTGACTACCTGGGACAAGAGCCTCACTACTGGCAGCTTCCAGGTCTTTACCAGGGAGATAAGGTCAGTATGCGAAAAAGAAAATGCTCAAATGCATGTGATCGGGAAAGGCTCCCTGCTGTCATCTGAGGATTCGGCAGCAGACAGAAGCTGGTGGAGCAAACTTTTTCCAGCCTCTTCTTTAGATTTTGCTACTTTTTCTGTCTCTAGACCTCTGCCACACACCTTTTTCTGTCCCTTTTCTGCCTTTTTCTGTCCCATTTCTGCCTTTTCTGTGATATCGCCTGGGTTATTGGGTTATCTACTTCATATCTCTGTTTTGTTTTCTGTCTGCCTGAACCCCAACCCCCCCCCCCACCCTTTGCTTTCTATAGAAAGGTTCTGACTTTGCTCGTCTGAAGCGAGCAGAGCAGGTATGGTGACTGTGATTGCCTTGTGGTGATGTGGTGGTCTTATAATAATTGTTCAGTTGGTGTTTGTCATAAACTGACTGGTGCATGTCCGGTTTCTGTAGATACACGTTGTGTGGCTGTGATCACTGACTGAATAGATTGTCGAAGGCATGAGACTTTTACTGCAACTTGCAAGAGGAGTTTTTTTCTAAGAACCGACTGCCTCCGTGGCGGCGCATTGATATTCCCCTCAGAATCGGCTTTCTGCTTCACATCTCCGGAGCCACGAAAAACGCGTTAATCATTAATGGTCCATTTCCGAGCTTCATAAAGTTTAACTTTTGCCTCAGTAACACCGCCACAACACTTACAAAATACCGCGAGCTCAGTGAGAGGGAAAGGGATCAAAGGGCTTTCCTTCATCCGCCTCAATAGAGTGACTCGCGGTTGCCAGAAAAAGCGGCTAAGGAAGGATGCTTCCACTTGGAAACAAATGGCCACCGAGCGGAAAGTTGCCCAAAGATCCAACTGAGCCGG